TTCTTAACTATCTCCTGCTCAGTAGACCTTGCTATCATCATCCTTTCGGCAGTTTTACTGTAGCATTCTTCGTGGAGAACAACTCTCACCCTGTCTTCCAGGAACAGGGATCACCATCTATAACATAAAACTCAACTTCAATTGGGCCTAAGTAATCCAATACTGTTTTTCAATGATAAGTGGGTAATTAGATTGCAAAAATAAACATCTTCAGGTTACATTTAAAAATGGATTTACTTGATAAATCATCTCGCCAAAAAAAAATGTAAAACAATGAAAATGTGATGAAAACTGTGATAAATTGAGAGTTTGAAAGAGGGGTTTTGTCTTTTCTTCATTAATCCACCTGAAACTTTCAGTAATTCTTATTGCATTTTATGTCCAATTTAAGAAAAAAAAAATCATAGAAACAGTGAAGCTGATGGCAAAAATTCCCAAATACCAAGCAATAACTTTCTTCGCAAATTTCTGGTTATATTCCATTCATATCCTCAAATTTCCATCTGGATATACAAAGTGATAGAACCAACATTTCGAATTGAGCTGAAAGTGCGAGAGCGGCCGGGTTATCTTGGCCAGTAGTATATATATGTGTGTGTGTGTGTGTGTGTGTGTGTGTGTGTGTGTGGGTGTGTGTGTGTGGGTGTGTGTGTGTGTGTGTGGGGGGGGGGGTGCGTGCATCCTTCTAATGCGCTCATGTGAGTACGTGCGTGTGCATTCATTTACACACACACCGCCCCGCGAGAAGGTATATATTGCGTTAGTCAAACATAGATACGGTAGTGGGTGAGTCTACCACATGTATGATGGTAGGTAGAGAACCACCAACAAAGATTACCTAAACAACAACTCCCCTGGGGAAGAATCGTGGGTGAGCCACCCAGTATGATTCCCATGTCAACATGTAGTTCGTCACACACCGCATCGGTGATGGCACGAATATGAATGAATATATTTCGTTCAGAATAAAAAAAAAAAAAAAAAAAAAAAAAAAAAAAAAAAAAAAAAAAAAAAAATATATATATATATATATATATATATATATATATATATATATATATATATATATATATATATACATATATATATATATATATATATATATATGTGTGTGTGTGTGTATATATGGACATGTATATGTATATATATCCTTAGACTATTCCGAACGAGGTTTTTATGCAAACGATAAAGGTATATTATTGCCTTTATAAGCAATTAATGTCCGGCCTTAAGAGTAACTGTCTATTTCTTCTAAACTGCAGGTCATCAAATAGTGAATCATATGCCCTTTATGTATGCTCTATGGCGATGTCTTGGAATAAAAGTGGATTAAGATATAAGCTTTATTTTCAAAGTACATCACAGTGAAGTCAGGATGATTTGAATTTTTGTGAAAGACTGATTTAAAAATGGCAGCAGGAGAATGCGCACGCGATGCATATCTTGTTCTTTCTCTCCACTTGAAGAGCAGGCACCTGATATTTATTGCACTCTTTCACTGCGCAGCCATGCTAGTCCTTTTTTAGCACACTACTAAAGGCGGCCTGTACCTAAGCAAACGGGGCGGGTGTGAAACGCAGACTTTCTACTGTCCAAATTCAAAAGAGCGAATGACTTGGCGATCGGCCTCGTGGAACCCTACTCCTGTACTAACTCACGGCTAGCGCAACTACCCCGCCTCAGGCGCGAGGCTTTTCCGGTCTCCTAATCTCAAAGCCGGTGGTGTGAGAGCGTAATGAAAACCCGTATCCTACTTGTATTATTCCCTGCAGGAGCTCACGTTAAAAGGAAAGTGATCGACCAGGGACGCAGCAGCCGAGACCTCCGGCTCAGCTGCGGCCGCGGTTGGCGGCGAGCGAGCGGCTGGCGGCGGACGTGGCCTGCGCTCGGCCGTACATGAGCGAGCGCTGGATGTCGACGCGGCACTCCTCGCTCGCCTGGATCAGCAGCCACGTCAGGTCCACGAACACCAGCGGGTGGTTGGAGCCCAGGCCGGCCTCGAGGATCTCCTCGGCCTCCTGCAAGTGCTCGAGGGCGGGGTGCCACTCCATGTTGTTGAGCTCGATCTTGGCGAGCTTCAAGAGGTACAGACCGACGTAGGGATGCTTGGGCCCGTAGTAGTGCCTGCGGAAGGGGAATCGAGGGTGAGGCTGCAGTAGAGGGCGAACGAGGGGCGCGGGAAGGGCCTTGGGCGCCAGCAGGGGAACATCGAGACCACGGAGTGATATTGGGAAATCGGAAATTTGGCAAATGCAAGAACATCACGTGTTTGCAAAGGGAATTTGATTTAAAATATTTGAAAAATATGTTACCAGATGTAAAAAAATGAATTGCTAGATCCGTTTGGAAATGCAGACCTCGTCAAATGCTGTGGATTGAATATGGCATAAAACAAAACTGAAATAAAAATTAATGGAGAGCATGTGCTGGGATTAATATTTTTTGTATAACGATCATGCATGATGGAGCGAAAAATGAAGTTGCTTGGGGCTCACAAATG